TTTCATTTTGGCACAAAATAAAATTTCTGGATGATAAACACACTGCTTTATTGTACGGAAAGTTTTATAATTAATATTTCGGTTATAGCGGCGATAAGATTGGCACACATCAGAAATCGAGACACGACTGAAGTTCATTGAGCATTTTACATGTACAGAATAGGAGCAACCAGCGGCCGAACGTTTAAGTCGCTTAACACTGGTAGATCGGTCTGAGTTTCGCATCATGTTGTGAGACTTTCACTGTGTAAATCTCAATTACTGTAGAAAGTGACGAGTCTTAAGAACTAGATAGCTAATAATCGCTAAAGTTCGGGTGACAAAAAACAACAAGTTAGAAGGGTAACTAACCCTTTATTATTCTAATAAGATTTAAGAAAACTCCGCCTGGGAGTGTACAAAAAAAGCCGACAGTTGGGCTTGAACTTAAGAGACTAAGAAAATAAACTAAAACTAAGATTAACTAATGAAATATAGCCGAAGCTATCAAGATTCAAATCGAGTTGGGCCCCTTAACTTATTTGACTACGAAGCTTAGCAAGGGCCTGAATACGGCCGAGCATAATAACAGCTTTGAGAGAGAGAGTGGCCAAAAAGGCAGAAGCGCTTAAATCAGAAACTCTGATTCTCTCTCCTTCTGTAAGTAACTTCGTGGTTAAATACCGCTCCTCCTCATTAAATATTCAGCAAGATTCCAAAACTACGTTCTGGCCGGAAGTAGTAAGTTGAAGTTAAGAATTTGACAGGAAAGGAACTTTAACTTAAAATTTAACTGTTAATAAAATTAACATAATCCTTACATAGTGAATGGGCTGGTTGCATGGGCGTTTTCGTGTTTTTATTCATGTATAACGTGTATACAAGCTAGTTTCTCTTAGGAAGTCCTCCACGAAGGCATCCCTTTCCCTAGGCAGATAGCCCTCAAGAGCTTTGCCGTAATCAAACCACTTACAGAATAATTTATATCACAGACACCAACATGGTGAATCATTATTTGCTATTTTTTTTTTTTTTTTTTTTTCTCTTTTTGTCTCTATGCGAATCTGAGTTCATGGCAAATGAGTCGCGCGAAGATGCTTATATATATATGTTACGGTGAAACACCGAAATCTGGATAATGTCGACTTTCACCGGTGAATGTCAACTTTCACGTAGTCGCTTGGTGTATGTCCGAAATATTTTCCAAATACTCTTATTTTTGACTTACACCGGTGAATGTCGACATTCACCATGTACTAATGGTGAATGTTGAACATATAAGAATATTATATTTTCCTTCTCCGTAATTCATTCGCGAAAAAACGCCCTTGAGACTCAGAATAAAAACTTCAGAATATGAGAACTTAAAACACACAGTACATTCAAAATGAGAAAGGAAAATTATAGAAGTTATAAACTTACCAAATTATGTGATTCAAATCTTATTTATTGCAACAACTTAAACTTAAACTGTTGTGACACTTTGAATTGCACAAGAGGCCCTTTCTTTTACAACTGCATTTATTTGTGGAACACTTCCTTTTGGAATGGCAGCGTGTACATACTGTGGGTAAAAAAAGTATTTGCACACCTACATTTTTGTTTGCAATCATAAAAAGAAGCATTAAGAAATAAAAAAATTGGTATTGCCAAATCAGAATAAGTTTAATCATCCAAAACAAACAGGAAAATTACAATAATATAAATAACAATGCTTTTTTTGTAACAAAATTAAAATATCTCATATCAAAAAAGTATATGCATACCTGCATGAATACATAAGCAATAAAATATATAAGCAAATTTCAAATAACTAATATTTAGTATGCATGCCTTTAGCATCTATTACTGCTTGTAATCTTGCTGGCATTGATTTAATTAAATTTTCTGTAACAGTAGGGTCAGTATTCGACCACTCTTCAATAAGGGCTTGTTTAAGGGCAGATTTGCCTGAAATCTTCCTTTTTCTTATTTTTAAATCCAAAGAATTCCACAAATTTTCCAAAGGATTTAAGTCTGGTTGGTGATTGTGGTGGAGTGGCAAGTGTTCTGGGTACATTATAAAGCAACCACATACGTGTTATACCGGCAGTGTGCTTAGGATTATTGTCTTGCTGAAAATAGTACGAATTCCTGATACCCAATTTTATTGCACTTTGTGGCAAATTATCTCGCAGCACATCTATATAGGTTCGAGCTGTCATATTCCCATCAATGAAACAAATTACCAACTCCTTTGCTAGCCATGCACCCTAAAATCATAACAGAACCTCCTCCATGTTTAACTGTATTTAACACGTTTTTGGTATGAAAAGCAGTACAAGGTTTTCTCCAAACTACTTTCCTGCCGTCTAATTTAAAGATATTGAACTTACTCTCGTCGGAGAATATGACATTTTTCCAGAAATCAATTGGCTTATTGATATATTCCTTAGCGAATTCAAGTCTCTTCAGTCTGTTTCGTTCAGTTATGAGAGGTTTTTTTCCTTGGTGATCTCCCATAAATGTGTGCATCGTGCAGGACATTTCGAACACTTTGAGCACAGATTTGAACTCCAGATGTTGAAGCGACATCATTGGCTAAAGTGATTGCACTAACAAATGGATTTTTTTATGCTTCTCTTATGATTTTTCGCTTCATTCGCAATGAAAGTTTCTTTGGGCGTCCAGAGCGCAAGTTATTTGATGTAGATTCCTCTTTCACATTTTATAACATACCAAATAGTAGAGAAGCAAACATTTACTTTTTTTACCTATTTCTTGATAACTTAGGCCATTTTCACGTAGAGAAAAAATATTTTTCTCGCAATGAAATCGGCAATTCAGATTTCTTAGGTGCCATTACAATTTGAATCGGCAATCAACTGATAACGTTTCGACAACAGCTCCTTTTATAGCCGTCTTACGTATGTTATTTACTGCGGGATGACTGTCAAATAATAGCATAAAAATGCAAATAAATGCAAATTTGCTAAAGTTGAGTTGAGTGTGCAAATACTTTTTTTGACATACGCTATTTTAATATTGTTGCAAAAAATGTTTTTTTATTAATATTATTGTATTTTTTGTAATTAATTTAAATGAATAGGCTTATTCTATTTTTTAAATGCCAATTTTTGTACTTCGTAATGCATTTTCTTATAAATTGTGAATAAAAATGTATGTGTGCAAATACTTTTTGTACCAACTGTATACTTCTCTTTTTTTGACCTACACCAGAGCATATCTGTGATTGTCGACATACACCGGTGAGGGTCCGAATGTACAAGAATGTAAAGAAATATTCGATCTTTTACCGACGTATTTGGTGAATGTTGACATTCTCCAATTTCGGTCTTTTACGGTAACATGTATATTGTATATATATTGTAATATTACTAACTGAATATCAAGCACTGTGAATTGGATGATTTTTGAGAAATCGAACTACCTCATATATATATATATATCTTCGTTTAGATTCTCCCACCCCATGTTCTTTAGAATTTAATGCAAATTTAATGAAACTAATACAAATCAAATAATTTAATCAGTTGGAACAATCGATGAAAAATCGGATATTTTTAGATTCGTAAGATTCATTTCTTTTATTATCTGACACTGCGGACAAGATTTTGCTGTTACCGGTATCCCTGAAATAAAATAAAAGTTATGGTAAATGTTACACTCCATTTATTTGATTTAAAACTAGACCTGTTAAATTAAAAACGGTATGTGTCTTTTTAATAACTTACCTCACAATTAATTTAGCAAAATGTAGATAAAACATATTTAGCATTTCAAATAATGTAAAATATTATAGTTATCTCTATTCGTAAAATTGTTTAAAAGCTTTAGAAATGCTTAAATGGCTTAAAAAATAAACGGAAGAAACGGAATCATAATTATGATGATAAAACTGAAGCCGTAGATGGGCAAGTGGGCGAAGTCCCTTTAATGCATTTATAAAATGAACTTTGCCGGTTTCATAGATTTTTTCATTAATCATTATGTATAGTATTTTCTTCCTTCTTATCATGTGCCTTTGTTGTGCAAACGGAAGCACGTTCGGCTACTAGTTAGGAAGTCCGGAGTTTGAACCCTCATGAGGTTCTTCCACAGTTTTCACGTTTCTTGATCCGAAATAAAAACATAATGACTCTAGAATGTATTATCAAAGATTTTAACTGGCATTATAATTTCATTTTTTTATTTTAGTTCAGAATAATGACGTCTTGTTAAAAATGTAGCAAGTAACTTAAAATGAATGTTTTTTCTGCTGGTTAACCTTCCGTTTAACAATACATGAATATTTACTGAGTCTTTCACTGAGTGACGTGATCAAGTAAAATTAAACTTTCTCATCGTCCTTGTATTACAGGACCTTTTGTTTCATAACCAAAATGGCGGCAAACCAGCCAAAGGCTGAGCTGGAGGAAACTATGAGAAATATATCAATGCAAAACGCACGCGCAATAAAGCTTAAAAAACGGCAGTTTGAATTTTTTGTGGAATGAAATCGCTTAAATTCTTACCCATTTAATCCAAAAGCCCTCTTGTGAGAGTAATGGTAGGAGGAGAGATGTACAAGACTCGGAGATTCCATTTCTAGAAGTGTTTACTATCAAATATGAGAGAGTCGGCGGATAACCTTCTGTGCTCTGCCATGCTTGGATACTATCATATTAACTGCTAGCCAAACCTATTTCGCTTTGTACCCCAAAAGCACGTAGTGAAGAAGGAGAACGTTCCTTATAAACTTGAAGCTTGCGCTTATAACATTATAGCTCATCTGGCAGATTGCTTATGCCATCGTGGAATCTGTCTGCCTGGGTGAGACTGAATGTTGTGTGTATAGCATTGTGAAGTATGTGTTTGTGTTAGCAGAACATATTGCTGTGTTTGAATTCAGCATGCAGTTATCATTTTATGTATGATTACACCAAATTCCTAGCACTAAATTTCGTTGAAAACACTTTTAGATATCTGGGTAAAATATTTTGTCTTATATTAGCTCCAAGCTGAAAAATTTGATTTTTCAGGTTGCGCCAATTGAAAATATCCGAGGTTACGGAGTTAAAAGTGCTTTGTTTGAAGTTGCTGCTGAAAACCACGTCCATGTAGAGGAGATATCTCGTCACTCATCTATAAAAGAGGTACATTTCGTTCTGTATACAGATATTACTTTAATATATTGTATTTATTATTATGCAACTAATCATCAACTTTTTTGTTATGTTTAGGAAGTTCCCTTCAGGATAAATTTCTCTTATCTCGCTGTATGAAACAATTGCAAGCTTATCAACATTGCTAAATTAAATTAATCAATCAATATTTGCTAAGTAAAAATGCTGGAATAATTATAATTCATTCTGTAATCAGTATAAGTTACAAGGTGTCTCATAAATTTAAGCGCATTAAAAAAATCATCTAAAATCAGCAAACTGGAATATAAGAGTGCAGTTTGCACCTAAAGGGTTCACACGGGAACGTTACTCTTATTATTATTGTGTAACATACATTTTAATTAAAGTTTTCGCCGGAAGATGACCCTGTACGATTAATATCGTAAAACTGTACAAATGAAATTTTAAAGAGAGGTTATTTCTTTATTAAAATAAAATGAGTGTTTCTACGATGGAAAGCTATTTTATAAAGTAGAATTATAATATGCTTGCAAATGGAAATTGATAAAGCACGATATTGTTGTCGATATTGTTGTCTGCGACATTAGACAACATGTAAAAGTTGTCTAATGTCGCAGGAAAAAGGGGGAAAATTCAAGATAGAGTTTTCAAGGTAGGATTTTGAATTCTGTTAATTTTAGAGTAACAGTATATGCAAAGTTTATAACACAGAACACACATGAATCAAAATATGAAATGCTATCATTATTTAATTTTAAGCCCTTGTACTCAAAATGCAGGCTTTATCAAAATTTAAATAAAATTATTTAGTCAAATATATAATAGTGCTGCGTGCATACCGGTTCATTAGGAATTGAATGCACAAGTCCGATGAAAAATGAACAAAATTTATTATTATCACAACAAAATAAAACAAAATGCTTAAATTTCCTCAGATATTCGTTCAGTATTACAATATCTCACAGTAGTTTTCTTTTAACTACTAAAACTTTCAACAGAACTCAAAATCAAAAGAGCTAGAGAAAGCTAATCCGCTACAGCAGTGTTTCTCATCCTTTTAGTATTCACGGCCCAATTTTCAATCATAATTTTCATCGCTCCCCCTCCACACCGCATGCAATAAAATGTATACAGTAATAATGTATTTTGAGTATTTTGGCGCTAAACCTACACTACAACCTTAATTTTAAACTTTACAAATTACCAAGAATACGGAAATTTATTGACATTTTGCAACACCGATCCTCAGCATTGAAAAAACAAGAATCCTATGCCTTTTTATTGCTCTTGCGTCCCGCCATGTCGGGCATTCTCACGGTTTTCGCGAGAAGTTTTCGATTTGTCTGGAATTTGTCTGGTCAGCTTAAAAGTTAAGTTAGGAGCATGCGCAGATGTGAACAAATGTTTTCTCGTAGGGAGAAGGAGAAAGTTCTATGACGCCAATTTCAATTCCAGGCAATCTCATTCGGGTCGATCCTTCTATCGATATTGAATCTATTCTGAATGTGTATGTTATATATATTTTCGTGCAATTGCAATTCACTGTATTAAATATTCACAGCAGCAGACTTATGCAGAATCATGGATAAATTTTTAAGCGGGCGTAAGCGAGCATTTTTTTAAGCAGACAAGCGGGCGTAAGCGAGCATTTTTTTAAGCGGGCGTAAGCGAGCATTTTTAAGAGGGCGTAAGCGAGAGACGATAAACGAGCGTGGTTCCAAAAATAAAATCAAGAAAATATTCTCAAGAATACTTAAATTTTGGGTTCACTGGTACTGAAGTAAATGAAGAAGAAAGACCCCTGTGTATCATTTGCTCAAAAATGTTGGCGGCAGACGGCATGAAACCTAATAAACTTAAACGACATTTGGAAACGCTTCATAGTGAGTACGTAAACAAACACAGAGAATTCTTCGAATTAAAATTAAAATCATATGAAAAGAAAATATCATTGTTTAAAAAAACTTTGTCTGTGAATGAAAAAGCTTTAATTGCCTCTTACAAAGTTTCATATAAAATAGCCAGATGTAAAAAGCCTCACACCATTGGTGAAGAGCTTATTTTGCCAGCCACAATTGAAATTGTAGAAATTATGTTTGGAGATAATTTTGCAAAACAATTGCAGTCTATACCTCTTTCAAATGATACTGTTGCCCGTCGAATTGCTGATATAGCTGAAGATGTAGTAGAGTGTCAGCTTTTGTCGAAGTTACGTGACAAATTGTTTTCAATACACAACTCGATGAAGCAACAGATAGTAATAAAAGATGCTCATTTCATTGCCTATGTTAGATTTTGTGATGATTTGTCAGTAGTAGAAGAATTACTTTTCTGCAAACCAATAGAACTCAAAGCAGCAACACACTCGCATTATTTGCTATCTTAAATGATTTTATGAACGAGGCAAACATAGAATGGAAAAATTGCGTCGGAATATGCACCGATGGTGCTCGTTCAATGTCCAGGAAGATTCCAAAGTATACACAGCACTTGTAAAACAAAAATCGCCACAGTGAGTGTCTGGACACATTGCATGATCCACAGAGAAGCTTTGGCTTCCAAGGAAAATGAGTCCTGGTTTGAATATTGTGTTAACTACTGTTGTAACCGTAGTAAATTATATAAAAATGAGACCCCTGAAATCAAGAATCTTTTCCGCACTTTGTAAAGACATGGGTGCAGTACATAGAGTGTCACAATTTTATTATGAGGCAAGATGGTTATCATGGGAAATTTTTGCAACGTGTTTATGAATTAAGAGAGAAAATCGCCTACTTTCCTACAGAAGAGGAAAACAGACCGGAAGTCTGAGAATTTTTCGCGATAGTATATTTGTGATGAAATTGAGCTACATGGTCGACATATTCGAGAAATTAAATAACTTGAATCTTCAACTGCTAAGGAGCAAATACACATATATACGAGTGATAAAGTTAATGCTTTTTGTAGGAAATTGTAAATTGTGGAGTAGAAATTTAAAGCAAGAAAACTTAACAATGTTTGCAAATTTGAATGATTGTATTAAAACTTACAAGGCTGAAGAACAACATGTAAAAGTTTGTTTTTGTAACCATTGAAAATCATTTAGCAATGCTAGCAAAGAATTTTAAAAAGTACTTTCTTGCTGACGACAAACTGATATCAAGTTACAAGTGGGTGAAGGATTCCATTTCAAAATACTCCCGAAGGACTCTCAATTGAAGAGGAAGAAACCTTCATAGACTTCACGGCAAGCGGCGAAACCAAAAGACAATTTAGTAATAAATCACTCTTTGAATTTTGGGCAGGAGTGGATGATTAGTTTTCTGCACTAAAAACAAGGGCATTTCGCATTCTACTACCATTTTCAACATCTTACCTTTGTGAAACTGGATTTTCTGCGGTGGCATCTTTGAAGACAAAATATAGATCTCAGCTAAATATAGAAAAAGAACTGAGAGTGTCTATTTCTAATATTAAACCCTCCTTCGAAAAACTTTGCTCTGCAAGACAGGACCCAAGTAAAGTCACTGATAATTATTAAATTTGTTTTTAATTTAGTAAGTTGTTTTAATTTAATAAAATTAATTATTAAATATGTCGAAATGTATTTTGTTTTGTATGTGTGTGTGTGTTCTTTCCTTTCAGTCACTTAATCAATTTTTTTAAATAACATTTTCTCTTGGATATGCTCGCGCCGAGCAGTTTTCTAAACAAACTCTTAAGACAACAACTAACTAAATTAAGTCGTTCTCCTCCTTTTTATAAGCTTTATAAATTTCGCGTGATTGTTCTAGCAATTTCTCGAAATCAAAAAGAGATATTTATTTATTAAATGTTAAATGCAAGCGCTGTTGTATTTTTTAATTTTCCGGCTTAGCTTTCTTTTAATATTCGTCACGTGCTACACTGCATGGGGAATAAAACAATTTTATTTATAATTCTACTAACATTAACTAATTAAATACCAAATTCATAACAACAGGAATGCAAGTAACTACAACTTACCTTACGCAAAGTTATAGGCCTCTATTTAAGTACTTTTGGGACTGGACAACTTCCTGTAAAGCAGTAATCTAAGCGAATAACTTAAGACTGAATTTTTATAGTTCTCTGAAAACGTACTTAATGTGTTAACAGGTTCTTTTGCGAACATGCTTTATAATTATCTTGTAATTCTACTTCATCATAGTTCCTTAATGGCGATTTTATATCTGACGTAGTCTCGACCTTTGTTGAAAGCCTGTATGTTGCACCTGAAATTTCCATCTCTAGAAAATCTTCGAATAAAATTTCAAGATTTTATTTCTTTCAAAACATTTTTCACTGTTCGGAAGCTACTTGTTCCTCTTGAGCTTCAACAGGCTTGGTCGTTTGATGGTATTTTTCAACAGTATTCTGTTCTTTAATCTTTTTGAAGATAATATTATGCCTGCTTTTGAAATTTTGTAGCCATCGTTCTTATCTTTGAATTCATTATTTATTTAACCAGACTTTTTTGGAAAAATCCTCAACATTCCACTGTAACTTTAGTGGAATAACTGTAAGTCTTTGACTGTGGTATTGTTCAAACCATTTCTCATTCTTTCCACATCTGGATATGGCCCACCAGCGGCCGAGCGGTAAAGACGCTGAACTCTGGTAGTTTGGTCGGAGGTTCGAATCCCGCGAACGGGCTGGCTGCATGGGCGTTTTCGTGGTTTACGTCGTGTGTAACATGTATACGAGCCAGTTCCCTTAGAAAGTCCACGATGGCATCCCTCCCCTTAGGCAGATAGCCCTCGTGTGCTTTGCCATAATTAAATAATCCAATCCAATCCACATCTAGATATTCTGATTTTCGAGCTTTGTTTGCTTGTTTGCATCTTGGTTTCTCTCTATAATTTGCCCATTTTTTGTTATGGTTACAAGAAAAAATAACCTCAGCTCTTCTCTCGTGGATCATCTTTATTACTAAAGATGTCGGAAAATATTATAGTATTTTTGTAGTTGGAAAGTTACAGGGTTTGAATGTCCTAAAGAATCATTCC